TGAACTAGGAGACACACGAGTGAATCAGATCGCTGCTCTACTGCAGGATAAACACTGTACACTCAACACACTCAAGTGAGTATCTTACATCATTTCACATGTTACATGACTAGTAATGTTTAAGGTTGGAGAAAATAATGTGAACACATTAGAAATAGCCAGTATTTTATTAATGTGTTTGCCATCGTTTGCCTTTAATACAGCTTCCAACCTTCTTAGAATAGATTCATACAACTTTTGAATAGACTTCAGTTCAGTTTAGTCTCTAACTTCTGCTGTGACTGCTGAATGTGATCATGTTTACTGACTACAAACTGAGGATTGAAGACTCATTTAAAAACATTGACCACCAACCAGTAATACCTCCCTCACAGATGAACTGAACCCCTTTAATGCTTGCTTTGATCATATAAACACAGAAGCACATCGAAGCTGAGCCCCACACGATGACCTGCCGCTCTCTTGTTTAACCAGTGAGGTGTGCTTCTACCTGAGCAGGTGAATGCACATAAAGTGTCTGGCCCTGATGGGCTTCCTGACCGAGTGCTCAGGGTCTGCACAGAACAGCTGGCTGATGTCTTCACACACATTTTCAAGCTCTACTTGGTCCCCACCTGCTTCAAAACAGTCACCATTGTACCAGTCCCAAAACACTGCAACGTTGCACTCCATAAAAAATTATATATACACATATATATGCATATTTATATTCATAAATATAGTGCCATTTGCACTTCTGGTTAGATGCTAACTGAATGTCATTGGCTCTGTGCTTACTCTGCACAATGAAATCAAAATTGAATCTAATCTAATTACTGGTATGTAACTTTTTTTTTTGTGACAACAGAACTGTTCACAACTGCTTTCAATTTAATGTTAATATTTCATAAAATGTCTAATTAAAGGGCACCTATTATGCCAAATCCACTTTTACATGGTGTTTGGACATAAATATGTGTTGGCGGATTGTGAGCACAACCACCCTACAATGATAAAAACCCACCCACTCCTTATTTATTAATTCCCATTAAACCAAATCAGTCTCATTAGACCAGCTGTTTTGATTCTCTGAGCAGTGTGACATCACATTGTTTAGGCTCCGCCCACAGCTGATGACTGACAGTCCTGCTTTACTGCTCTCAGAGAGTTGTTTGGTTGTACCATAGATATGTACAGATAGATGCCACATTCGACCGCTCCAGATACGTTGCATTACGTCGGCCATCTTGAAATGTTCTGTCGTCACTCACAATAACAATCAATGGAGTTTCAAGATGCAACAACGTTGTGCAGCATCTGGGTGTAAAAACTGATGAAATTTAAATTCCTGAAGAAACTGGATAAACTTTCACAGATAAGAATGTGTTGGTTTGTGTTGAAGATTCTCCAGACTTGAAATGTAACTAGTATCCTCAAATCCTAGTTTTGTTTTTGTCTTGGTTTATGGCTGTATAATTATTTATTTACTTATATTGTTTTCAGGTTTTAGCAACATTTTATTTATTGCACTGTATGATGTTTACTCATGATTAATTTAACTCACACATGAACATAACGTGTCTGATTCATTGTGTTTTCTCTTTCTGTCTTCAGTCTGTGGAGATGCAGTATTACAGAGAAACAGTGTCGCATCCTGACTTCAGCTCTGAAATCAAACCCATCACACCTGAGAGAACTGAGGCTGAGCGGGAATAAACTAGGAGACTCTGGAGTGAAAAACCTCAGTCATCTACTGATGAACACACAATGCAAGCTGGAAAAACTAGAGTTAGTATCATTATACTCTACAGCAGTTACAGTGAGATTAAAGTTTACTGTTCAGTTTATTTTAACATTTATTTTAATATTTTATTTTATTATTTTTGCCTCTTGTTCATTTTAATTTAAATGAGCTAAAGTAACATGTTTTTGAGCATTCTGTAACAATTTCATTGTGTTCACTCTACCTAATATATTTAAAATTGAAATGTACAGTATTTAATTTATTTGTGTTGAAACTACATTAATATTTGTTGCTGACGTAACTAACTGCGCAGTGGATTTGTAGTTCTCAGCATGATTTACAAGGAACTGCATGATTGTAAATTTAGGGATGAAGTGTTATTTTATGTGGTTTTCTGTAAAGGAAAATACATGTTAGTGTTTAAAACCCATTTAATCCCACCGGTCACAATAGTGACTGTAAAACAGATTCTCATTTATAAAGCTCTAAAAACCTTACTGACTGATGTTTTAGTGCACTTGCTGCAAATATGGAAAAATAAAGGGTCTCAATTAAATATATGCAGTTCCCTTTCAGTCAGTCACGTTCTACGTTACGAATTGGGATCTCGCCCGAGAGCCCAATCCCCTTCGAGTGTTAACTAAACAAGCCAATGACAGTTGGCGTGCGTATTTCGCCACGCGCACCCCGCCCCGCAGCGCGGGTATAAAATGACAGCGCGTGCAAATGCACATCAGCTTTTCGCTTCGGAGCCGAGCCTTCTACAGGACGAATCTCTGCGAGTGTTCTAGAGAAACAGCTGGCGTTGGTGTGACGGCGTATCAGTGGGGGTTGCCATCCAGGCTGCTGAAACCT